ACAAGTCCAAAAGGGAGACACCCCTAAGGACAGGGGAAACAGTGACTGTGTGTGCCTGCGTACAAGTAGTCAGCTCAGCTTGACCCCATGCAAGTAGCTGTGCAAAAATGCGTCAGGATCGTGCGCCTCCATCCCGAACTACCCGTGAAGAAACATCAATAAGCATTGCAAGAGTACATCGGGAGACATCAATATTAATGACTAGCAAGAAAGGTTGGAGCTTCTCAGCTACTCTCCATTTGGCTAGACTGGAGTCAGCCCAATCTCCTGGCTTCGCACACCTACAATGAGCCTACACATAAGACATCTTTCACCTACACTGAATTGGTGTGCAAAAATGATGCGAATGCATAGCCAGCGGAGCGGTTGTGGGAGAGATGCATGAGTAAATGCAAAACCGCATCGTCATGCACAGGTCCGGGAATGCGGGCCATGCAACTTCGTGCTTCCCCGACGGTCTAGATGCTTACTAAATTTGTACAAGGAGGTCTCGTAAAGCCGCACTATCAGTCACTCGAGCCGCCCCTGGCCCAAAGCCAGAGTGGCCTCACTTAAAGTAAACGCAAATGAACATGATGCGATCAGTGATCAGTTCATCCGAAACGTGGATAAAGTGTAGGTTGGTAGAAGATGTTCTGCCAATCAGGGGAAAGATACACCGTGATTGAATTTGCAATGGGCATACTATGAAGTGTTTTTACTCGTCTGGAGAAGGTAACGGTTTGCATGGACAATTGCTGCCGATAGACGCATTTTGTGCCAAACAGAGTCCTCAGACGAAAGGAACCAAGTGAAGGAATTTCACGTTCAGGAAACAGGCTGGTTCAAGGATAGGAGCTAGGGGAGCCTATTGCGGCAAAGAAGCCAATATTCTGCAGACTGCACAGCAAGGACTTGAGTACCAAGTCCAGCAGAGCGGCAAGCCAGCCGTTTCGGAGAATAAATGCGGAGGGGGCAAGACCTTCTTATACCCAGAGCACCACCTGATAGACGACGACTAGACTGAAAAGATGGTTTATACCGGAAGGATCTCCGTCCTTCCAATGCCTGGCTGCAGTATCCGCAGCAACCTGGAATTCTGGAATGCGGGTCGTGGCATAGTCTCTGTATAGCCAATTGTCACGAAGCAGCTGCGTCGGACGGGATCTGCTCAGAACATTGAAGCCTTCGCACTAATGAGCTACGTCAAAAACTTCGACTAAGAAGATAGCAGCTTTGACAGTCCGGTTTAATCTTCGCTCGAGGTATATGAGCGGAAGAATCACCCGCAATAAAGAGATGGGGGTCACGGACAAGGCCAGACCCATAGATCGGCTGCCGATCGGCCACCAGAGCCGTGGTTGAGGCCGGCATGTCCTGCCTCTGCCATCCGCACCCACCTCTTCTCAATGTATCTCGGATCAAGTTCCTGGGAACAGACCCCAGCCTGTGTCTGTGTCCGCTGCTCAGGAATTGCCGGTATAATTCAGAACATTGTCTACGCAAATTGCTCGAAATCACACTGGGAGCAAAAGGCAGGCCTCACTCAACAAAGACCTTTGGTATCGCTAGCCGCGCTTCCTAGCGGGACAATCATGCAGGACCGGTCGACTGTCTGCATGCAGGCCCTATTTTTGCGCTGCCAAACCTGAACATTGGGAGTAGATAGCTGACGGCAATGGATGCAGGCCCCTGGATCTCAGCTGACAAGGCTGCAATGCTTGAAAGTCTCAACGCAGTGGGCAGCGATTGTTGACGTTATTCCATTCTCAGGCCAAGTCTGAAACTCCAGGGAAACTGCACAAGGTTATAATGCCGAGTCAGAAAACCAGGACCCCGCGTCAACAAAGTTGCGGATCGGGATTCCGCGGCCTCCCTTGCTCCAGCGTCTATGGTCTGCCGCCTTGCTGCACATCCCATCCCTACCGAAGGAGACCATGTAAGGTCTGATAGGTCCTCAAAGTCAGTGCGCTCGGACGTTCGAGCTTTGTTTACGCCTTTCTGCATTGGCATGCGCCGGGGCTCCTCCCCGACCTAGCCACCATCCAGCAATGGAGCTGCCCTAGGCCAGGATAGGCATCACTGTTATTTTTAGGGAAGATATGTATAAACATATCCCCTCCGCCCTTGCCCTTTCTTCCTTTCTGGCCATCCTCATTCCTTCGTTTTTACCTAGTCTCTCCTTTAGTCCTGTATGAACTGCATCCGTCCCTTTCATTTCTGATGAAACTTCTGCGTGTCTGAATGCACCACATCAAATCCATACCGGCGTCAGAATCATAGCCCATGGCTGACGGATATCCTCGGCCTCCCGGCGAATCCAACGCCTTTCACAGCTGCCGGAACCGATCACAGACAGCAAGCATTGTGCCAACAGCTACGCCACCTAGGAAGCGGGCATCCTCATTCTATACAGTTAGAGGGCCAGAGATTGTTGACGAGTCAGTCCCTGATCCGTTCTACCTGGAGCACAATTTAGGAGGCGCCTCTCCCTGGGGCATTCGTCGACCAGGTAGTCGCGATGTGAGAGGCAGTGAAGAAGGTAACCCGTATTCAATGATATCTTCGGTGTATTCCAAAGACATTCCTTTTGCTGTCACTGCACGCGGTGAATCTGCGAGATTGCGATCCAATAACAACCGATCTACTTTGTCTGTGGTCGAACTAGAACATCAACTTGGGCTTCAGCAAGTCACGTCAACCCGTCCGTGGGGAACAGCCTCTGGGCATTACGACCACAGCTCGTTCAGCTCGGTGCAGACCGAAGCTACCCCAGACTTGACACCAAGCAGCTCCTTCTCTTCCAACTACTCTGCTCCTATCTACCCAGAGAACTCCCTCTCCGCGGTAGAGCCTCTGCCAGTGCACGCCCCTCCTATCCCACCCAGCCCTAGAAACAACGTATATCCTTGTTCATCCACTCCCTTGAATCAGTCCCAGGTAACCTTGTGTACACAGCCCTCCACGCCTGTACGACAAGGAAGACCACACACAGCGACGCCTAACGCGTCGTCGGATACCCTGGTCATGCACCAAGGAGACAATCACGATCCTCCCTCCCATCGTGGGAAGCCATTGCCATCTCTGCCGAATGGAGCGCGGAATGGTATTGCCCATAGCGGCAGGAAGGGCCCCCCTCCCCCAATTCGGCCTCCTATTGCTCCGTCGATGATCTCTCCTCCGTCTTGGATCAACCCGGTGACTATGGAGCCACACGCCACTCATTTTGAGAAAGCAATGTTTATACCTGCCAATGATTGTCCCAGTCCTGTACCTAGTCCCAGTCCAGGGTCGCCCTTGCTTGAGCGCTATCCCACAGCGGGCTCGGCGCGCGATCGCCCATCCACTTCTGCGTCACGACCAGCTTACTGCGAGCAGTCAGTGTGGGAATCCGATTCGGACACCGAGTCGGTCGATCCCAAGTCACTATCCAAGAAGCCAATGGATACATTGAAAAAGGTCCGCAGTCGAGTTCATCTCCGGGTAGCCAAATCGGCGCCAAAGCTCCAACCTCCGCAGACACCCAACAGTCAGCACAGCAATCACTTGGAGAAATTCTCCTCGATGCCTGATCAGCCCCCAGAGGATCTCTGCCCGTCTCCTGTGCGGAAGACCGTCAAGGCGCGGTCACGAGAAGCTCTGCGGCCTGCGGCTCAGACGTTGCGACTGGTTGCCCCATCCACGACTTCCTTAGTACCACCGCAGTCCAGACGAAGCAGCGGTCAAGCGCGCACCATCGACATTGACCGAACAACCGCGGCTGCAATGCAAGCGAAGTCGCGGCGCCGACCCCGGTCCGACTCGAAGAAGTCACTTTCCCCAGAGCGGGAGAAAGTGTGTACCCTCTGTCGCGAAGAGCGATCCGACAAGGCGATTCTGTCCCTGGCACGACCTCCACTCTATAAACGGGTGTGGGAGTCATTGCGTGTGCTCGGCTGTCATGGCGACATTACACCTCCCCGGTCCCGCAGACCCATGTAGCTATTTCCGATCTTTTTCCTTTTCTCTGATTCCTGTTCGAAAACCAAAAGTCCGATACGGCGTTGAATGATGTACGGCTATTTGCTACGATCTACCGAAAACCACCCTTACGGCCCTGTCCGACGATGCTGAATGGATCCCCATGATTGATCTAATGTTTATGACGCTGAACGCAACGACCCGCCAAAATCCCTACCGGCGGATGATGACAATCCACATACATATGATGGATGCGCGGCAACCATCCATGCCCGCGTCCAATCAATGATTTGACGAGATGAAACCCCGCCGAGATGGAAATCTCTCCGGCAGTCTCTTCGAAACGATGCAATGCGAACGCGCTGCGATATGATTCATGTAACGATGAGGCAACGATTGATTACGATAGTTGGTCTCATACCACTCTTTTTTTCCACTTGCTGATTTATGCTGATGTCTGTATTTGTGTCCATCCTGACACCCATTTCCTTGTCTGTCTGTCTGTCTATCTACTGTCACTCGCTCCTAACTACCGACACTCACTACCTACCATTGTCTGCAATTGCCCGCACGGGCGCCTGTCACTCCCTCCAAACTACGTCAATTCCTGAGTTCATCTCATACCATAACATACCATATACAATAACAAAGATACCACATTCAAAACACCATTGAATATCCCATTCCTCACCGTAGCCATCCATCCATACCTTGTACGAACACCATGTCCTCTTTCCCGATTCGAATAAACCAAAACAAACGAACCATAAAGGCCCAGATTCCTACCTACTGAAAAGAATTTCCACCGGCATGTGTGGGGTTTTTCCAGCGAGGGGTTCCGAATTGGAAACGCTATTCGACGGGAACTAGTCTCGTCACTACTTGGTTTATCCTCCATTCATTCATCCCTTGGAGCGATGCGGCCGAGAGCGCGGCGTACTAGGGATATCCATCCCTTGAGAGATGAGGAGCGTCTGGCTACGGACTTTACAACTGTGTGGGCGTCTGAATGACTCGCGCCGTCAAACCGGTTTTGGGCGGTTTTGTACTTTTGTAGTTGTGGCTAAATGGTCAATTTGGTCTTGTACATAAGGTTTGTCTATCGTATTTAAGAAGTTTCTTTGTATAGAGTGATAGGCTTAGTGGCGGCATGGAACACCACTCACAATTCCAACCCTTTTCCGACACCTTGATGATGGACGGTATCCATGCTTGTCGTTTGCTCAGCACACCTACACTTCACGTACTCATGCACATCCAGTACTTATGATCGAACCACCGCCATCACCACCAACCCAGCCATCCATAGCTGCACAACGCCATGCAAATTCCCCTCCGTACCTTGCAGCCACGTCCCATCTCGACCATCCGGCCATTCTGTCCTGCCGTCCCGACAGCAGCAGGGGGAGGAGCCAGCCAGCCAGCCAAGTAGCCATCCCGAGACCAGACCCCGACGTATGCAGAACTGCAGAGCTGCATACAAGCAAGCAGGAAAGTTTCTGCTCAGTCGTTTGTAGAAAGGCCAGGCTAGGCTGACGTTGGCCCGATCCTCTAGTTAAATCCCGACAGGCGCAAGGGCCCGCCAGAAAGCTAAAGAGGTGGAAGAAAAGAAAAAAGTACCATTCCATCCCATCCACAACCACCCCCTCAGCTCTCTTCCACCTCTACCCCCGTCCCCTCAGCAGTAACGGTATCCTTCATCTCCAACGCATCCATATTCTCCTCCCACCTCGGAACCCTCACTTTCTCCTCCCACTTCCCTACAGCCCCCTCACCCTGCCTCCCAAGCCTAACCTCGGCCTTTTCTCCCCCTGAGATTTCCTTCTCACTGATCCCCTCGAATACCTTCCGCACATCCAATTCCTTCACGGCTTGTTGGTACAATGCTAGTATCTCTGCTCGCTTAGCCTGGCGTTCCTCGTCGGTCATTGTAGAAGTAGAAGTGGCGGTGCCATTGGTGCTGGTGGTGCCCTTCCGACCCGCCGGCAGCTTCTTCACCACGGCTTTCTGGCTCTCGTCGTAGCCCCGCAACACGCCCTCGAGAATACCGAGGATAGTACCAGCGCGCATGCCGAGTTGTGCGCCGACGGGAAAACCGGCGTCAAAGCCGGCTTGGACATGGGAGGTTTTGGAGGCGCTGATGCCGTCGCGGTAG